AAGCCTGCCCGAAGCACTAAGTTGGACAAACTTGTTACATTTGAGGCGGAACATATATAATTACCTGCAAGCCAACCTTGGTATATAGGTGTTTGTACCTACATGTATATGTATGTATGTATCTATATACACATCTGTGTATGCATGTTGCTATATGACAAGCAGGCATGCATACACACCTGCATATGGATGTGTATGTTTACATACACATATGCTCATGCTGTTTCCATGTTCATGCTTTTCCAATCCTTATGCACTCACGTTTCTCACGTTTCGGGCGATGAGTCGGTTCGACGCTGCCCTTTATCCTTATGCACACATACATATATGCTTAATACATATGTACATACACGGGTATATAGGTACGTACATAAGTATCACGGATACATGTGCCATATTTCTGAAATATGCGAGCATATGTCTATGCAACAATGAGGCATTTAGGCAGCCATGCACTCAAAGGAAAATGCAGGGCCTCAGGCTCCTATCCCAAACCCCAAATGGGCATGGTGGGTACAGCATGCGGAATTTCCATTCTGTGCGGAAGAACGTCCTCCATACCTGTACATATATACATCTACATATGCATGTATATATATATATATATATGTGTGTGTGTACATATATATATATACACATATGGATATGCACGTATACAAGGTATTGCACTCTCGAAGCCTATGCAACCATATACAAGTTCGTGTACTTTGGAAGCCCATGCACGCGCACACATATGTATATGCATAAATATATATATATATATATATGCACATATATACATAGGTTTTTTTGTGATATACATGCAAGTACCTGGGTATGTAACCGCAAGGCCACTCTGCAGTTGCACACACGATGTAAATTGGAACCTTGCAAGCATATTATGGGTGGATGACACATGTATACATACATACACACACATATAAATTTGTGTGCATCACGGAAATGGGTAATTACATTGTTTTTGGGATTTACATGGAAGTGGGTGGATGATGGCGAACAACAGGTCTTCAATAGAATAACTGATTAACATGCCCTATTACACCGTAAGCTAATCCTTAAAAGGTGTGTCCCAACCAGCTAGAAATGCAAATCATAGTAGGGGATGCTGGGAGACCACCAGACTAAAACCAGAGTCTGAACACTTTAGCACATATCACGGGCTACACTTATCCACGAAAGATTTATAGTGTGTAGCGAACCTAAGTACCGAAAAGGATGACGTGTGTCCAGAGCATCCAAACTCTACTGGAAGACATTCGGCTGAAACGCAATGCCGCACATAGATATAATGAGCCAAACCGCCGTAGAAGTTCGATGAATGGCGGAACCACAACTGGATCCTCAAATCGATGACTGTTTTCCCAAATACAGGCAGACTAGAAGATGTTGCACTCTCAATCCAAGGCTTCAATAGTAGATGATGGGTAGCAAACCCAAAAACTAGTTTGAAGGTGGCAAACCCCTCAGAGCTTTATAAGTGTAGGAGTGTAGACTGTAGACATTCCTTTCGCCACGGCTTCAGATGCGGTTGTACACATCGATGACGGTCTGCCTGTCAGTATAGTCTTTTAGCATTTATGCTGCAGCCCACGCCACAATTTCATTCCCTAGTTGAAGACATGATATATACAACAAGTTACAGGTCAACATTCGTATGCACATGTTGTAAATATACACATTTCCATAAACACGCATCCATTAAAGTCAGATGCATATGTGCATAGACACCCAGGGGTTGTGATGGATTCTTAATGATTTTAGACATGATATGCCAGATCACGCACCTGAACTTCAACGGAGATGCTGGATGGCAAACCTCCTCCCTCTTCCCCAACAAACTCCTACTTCGTGACATGCCCAAGACTCAAAATCAAGGGTGCAATGCCTGGATGAGGCAACACAACGCTTAAAATTCTGGGTGCAAAAACTCGTGTGAAAACCTCTAAATTACCGAGAAATACACGCCACCAGGGCGTTGCACTCTCAAACCGTAAGCCCTGTAAACCCCTAAACCCTAAACCCCTAAAACCTAAACCCCTAAAACCTAAACCCCTAAACCCCTAAACCCTAAAACCCTTAAAACCCTTAAAACCTTTAAAGGCCGAGACCCTGAACCCTGGGCAGAAAAGCCTCGCCGCCCGGCTCCGACACCACGCTCTCAATGCCTCGAGAAGTCTAGACTCCAAAACCCCTTAATTCATATCAAGTTTCCTATTATATACAGTTTAAGGTATACATACCTTAAACTGTATATAATAGGAAACCTGATAGGATTTAAGGTGTGTCCGTTAATTTTTGGCTTTTGGAGTCTCTGGGTTTGGTCAGTCGTGCTCCGGATCCCTTTTTCAAGTCAACGCAATAATCGTAGCACCACATGGCTGGGGCATGAAGTTTAAGACTTTGTTTGGAGTGGTGGGGCTGTCGGCAGCCCCACAACTCCAAAATAGTCGGCGCTTAGGCTCGGAACTTCTTTACATTTCGGCCTGAAGGGCTTGATGATGCAACATTCCATAGGGTTTCGGCTGTGGGCTAGGCAGTTCTGTCTTAACCTTTCCGAATGCTGTTACAGGCAGCGGAACCTAGTTTTTCAGGTTGTCGGCTGAACAACTAAGAAAAAGATAAAATCGAAAACAGCAAATATGTGCAAATACCCAGAACCAACGCTTGTGCAGGCAGTCCGAACAATGGAACTTAGTATCGAACGAACTCTTGAACGATCTTGACACTAACAAAAGCGGTGTGGCATGAAGCTCTTTGGCTAGTCCTCGCCGATTACTCTCATATTTCTAGGTAGTGCTGTCAAGCCTGACTTCGTAGTCCAAGGTTACAGGGCGCCAACGTGCCGGTTTTGCCGAAGTAGCTGCCCTGCTTGTGCGGTCACAGGCGTAACTTCCCTGCTTTTCTTCTGTGCTGTGGATTGTCGAGGGTTGCGGATGACGGCAGCCATATTCTCATCTACACGCACACGCAAGTCTATCCCCAATCCAGCACCAAAGCATTAAGATGCCTCTACATTTTCAAAAACCACATGACCTGCAAGTCAGTTGCATTGTTAAGTGTTCATGTATTGACACTCACGCGCTGTGAACCGACAAAGAGCGGTTTAGGGTCTCGTTCAAGGCTTAGGGTGACCTTCTGAAGTAGTGACCCAAAAGACCTGCACAGGGGCTCGAAACACGGAATGCAGCGGCTGATCCACAGCAGAGTTCTAGAACTACACTCAGTTCACTATGCCAACAGACTACTGGACCCAAACTCTTCATTGCGCGCGACAACAACTTCAAACAAACTCTAAACCCCGCAAACCCCCAAACCTTAAAACCCTGGACCCTGAACCCCCAAAACCTAAACTCTAAACTTTGGGCCTAGGCTCTGAGGGATTTTTCGCCACGATCTGGCTGAGGCAATAGCTCCAGGCGGAGTTGGGATCTGATGGGTCGACGAACAGAGACCTGGAGCATTCGGGGTTTAGGTTTCAGGGTTAAGTTTAGGGTTTAGAGTTTCAGTTTAGAGCTTGGGGTTTAGGTTTAGTTAGGGTTAAGTTTAGGGTTTAGGGTTTTAGTTTAGGGCTTGGGGTTTAGGTTTCGGGTCAAGTTGTCAAGTTTAGGGTTTAGGGTTTCAGTCTAGGGCTTGGGGTTTTGGGTTGGGGTTTGCAGCCAAATGCATGGGAATCTGGGTCTAGGGTTTTCGGTTGTGCGTGTTTAGGGCCTGGGATTGTAGGGTCAAGGTTTACGGCTGGGTCGAAGAACCAATTACGATGCGCTATAACCTGTTGGGTCATGACCTGCTGTTTTGCTGGGTTTGGGGTTGGGGCTACATGTGGGGCGGTGGTGAGCGCTTGTCCACTGCGTTCAACCCTAAACCCTAGGCTGTGCGGCTGAGAAACAGAAAGGAGCCAGCCAGTTTTAGGGGCCAAGTCTAGCCCCTAAACCCTACCTAAGACAAACCCTAAACCCTGAATATAGTCTTAATTGATGTTCTTCGTCGGCTTATTGTGTGTGTAGGGTCCTCCAAAAACGCACCTCCCCATAAAAACGAACTGCCATGAACAGACTGTAAGTAGCAGCTTATACTCAGTCTACATGCAACAAACCATAAGTTGGGCCATAAGCGGTCAAAGGCGTCTTAGGCATACTTAGGAGAGCAGCTTTCGAGGCCTGAACTCGCCAGCTGTCAAGATCTTCGAAGCAGAGAGGGAAACCCTGTTGGCCCCCAAGTTCCGGTCGCAAAAGATGGTGTTTCTATAGTCCTTACATGTCCTTACAAGCCTGATGGGATCCCAAGTTTACGTTTAGGCCGTAAGTATCATAGAACTCGGATCTTGTCCCTGAACTCAAATCCTACACCCCAAACCCTGAATGCTGGAATCAATACTCTTTCCCAACCAAACTCAAGGTTATTGAAGCTTTGGGCGTCGAGGCCTCCGTCGACCACCGCTGCGCTCCGGTGCGAGAGAATCCTGACAAGCGGCTCCAGGCGCGCTTCTGGTTTTCAGAAGCCCGTTTAATTCGTAAGAATCCCTCCTAGCGCTCCAGCTTCCTAAATAGGAGGTGGCATGGCTACATATCATAGGGTTAGTAGCCTACTATTTAGTTACTGTAAAAGGAGCCCTATAATAGGGAAGCTTTTGCTTACCGTAACTGCTACGAAGGAACACCTCCGTTAGGCCCCGCGTGTGGACCCACCGCGTCTTGACCTTGCGGAAAGCGGACGTGTCGACCTGCCACGGCCCAGGGGTTTAGGGTTTATAGGGTTTAGAGTTTAGGGTTTGGGGTTTAGGGTTTGGGGTTTAGGGTTTAGGGTTTAGGGTTTGGGGAGGGCTTCAGGCAGGAGGGGTTGGCAGCTCCATGCCGTCACATTGCAAAGGGTATTTGTTCATGGGATGCTTTCATCCGGGCCCGCAGCTTCAGTGGGTGGTCCTTATGGAGACTCGTGCTCTTTGGGCGCAAAAGTACTAAAGACACATGTGCAAAATCGCGCACAAGATCTGGAAAGCAGGATTATTCATGGGCTTCCCATGCTTTCCACACCTTGCCCGTGCCCGCATCAGCAAGCCCCCATCGAATTAACCGGCCCACTTCGCCGACTTGCTGCACACTATCCATGGCATGCCAGGAGGCGAGAAGGCCAGACCTCTGGTCAAGAACGAGCGATTGCAGCTCGGTGTTGAACTTGTTGATGCTCGTAGTGCGTTGGATCTTACTTAGAATGAGTTGTTTGTCTGCTTCAGAGGTTGCACGCATGCTCTGAACATCCAGGTTCTCCAAAGAGCGTGCACGTTGCATGATGGCCGCTCTGGATGAAAGCTTCAGTGTCTGATTCATTTGCAGACGCTTGGCTTCTGCAATTTCTGCAACACACCATGCACGAGTGAACAGGTCAAAAGCTTGGTCTACCGCAATTACTTGCCTGCAGCCACCTGTAGTTGCAAGATGGTACATCATGTCATCGAACTTGTTGATCTCCGATGCGATACTCGTACCGTCTGGGTCAAAGATATTCACACTACCGCAGTTGCATACCGGATGCAGCTCATCTGTAAAAGGATCGCGGTCACAAGGATTGCTGTGGCAAATGCAGATATGCTGGTTGACAGCAAAAGCACAGATCCAGTACGTGACATCCAAGCGGCCGCTCTGACGCAGGATCTCGAACAGGAATTGCCAGTCATCCTCCAACAGCTTTGCCGCCAAGGTGAAGCTGCACTCATTCAGGGCATCCGAAACGACGGCTGCGAGCAAGTCTTTGAAGCAATTTCCCCAGTTGTGGGTCACCATAACCTCGGCGTTTCGAGCACCATCCCTGTTCAACACTGAAACTACATATGAAGACTCCTGGCTGCTTGTCAGTGGAATAATCACCCTGCGAACGACATCTCGAGTCTTGTGTTCCTTGGGCGCATAAGTCCAATCTGGCATAGAACGGAGCTCTGCTTCATAGAAGTGGAACAGGCTGCGTAAAGTCATGCCCCGAAGAGAGAGCTCTTCAACCTTGGCCTTCCATGCGGGGTCCCAGGCTTTTTCGATGCTCGGAGCTGCTCTGGGCAGGCATCTCTGGCAGGTCGTGTTTTGACTTGTTCGGCTGTCTACCGGCAACCTGTGGCTTCCGGACAGAAGCAGCGCAGCTGCAGAATTCCCTAGGAAATCACAAGCCTGAATGACAAGACTCACCCAAACAAGCACAACTTGAATCTGGTTGTCTCCGGCAGCGAGCACCTCGAGAGAAGGATCACCTACCGGAGAAGGAGCTGGATGGGGTTGCCGGTGCAGACCGAGTTCTATTGCCGGAACTGCCAAAATCGTGAGGAAGAGGCTTATGGATACACCTGTTGCCTGTAGAGCAGCAAACCTTCGGGCTCGTCTCAAGGAAAGGATCACCACCATCGCTGTGTCCGTAGTCTCGGCAACACGCGCGACTCTTTTCAAGTCGAGGAAAGACCGGGCGAGCGAGAAAATCGCAACCATGCTTGCCACCAGGTTGAACAGCCAAGTCATCGCTGTCGTCACGAACGCCGCACGATATGCGCATGTTGCCCATTCATCACGGACAATGTCGCTAAGTTCGTGGCCTTGTTGCGCAGCCAATAACACCACGAATGCAACCGCACTCAGCATGAAGCCGAACACTTGCATCCCAACGAGCTTACGAAAGCAGGCACTGTTGTATTTCCGATTTGAGGACCTCTCTAAAGACTCCAATCGCGAAGCGATGAGCATCTGCATCCAGAACAAGCAAAACAAATACAGCACCAGCCTGCCGTATAAAACCGTTGGCAACCACCACTCCAGAAAAGAGTCTTCCAGGCGATGCGTGAAGTGCTGACCGTTTTCACGGTCAAAAGTAGGCGAACAGCTCTTGTTTTGAAGGTTCCACGAGGCCACGAGTGACTGAGCCCAGTTGACGACAGCATAGCCACAAGCCGACCTGGCGTGCCCTGAAGCATCCACCCTTTTTATCAGAAAAGCGGCCATGCAGCCAGCTAGGAAACTGGCCAGCATCATCACGCAGAAGAGGCATTTGTCCAAAAGCCCGCAAGAGCCACGAAAAATGAAATCATCATTGCGTAACTCATAAGCTGTAGGAAACAGTGACGCTGTAACTATGGCATGGACAGCACAAACCATGAAGTATGATCCAGGCCTCCATTGCTGGGGCTTCAGCGAACAAACTGATCCCAGGCATGGGGTTGCAGCCTCAGACATCCTGCGAGGAGTCTCAGAGGTTGAGCTGCCATTCGGGCACGGAATTGCAGCCAAAATGGCTGATGCCATGGGATTCATGATACAAACTGATTCCGACGGCTAATTAGCTCTTCCTGACAAGCACAGCTGGACGTCAATTGCACGTACTGTCGGCACTGCTTCCCAGCAAACATGCAGGGCGCACGGCATTCGTGAAGTCGTCATGTGGCGACGCCCAACATGACAGGGCAGAGTAAACCGACCCCTGTATTTACAAGGTAGCAGTAATGTTCAGAAACCCACCATGTAACCCAAAGCACGGCCTCCTAGCGCATGGGCCTCGAAACAGGGATAAGGGCACTCGTTGCGGTTTGGCTAGACCGCCACACCTGCAACAGCAGTTGAAACCTCGTATGCCCTGCTGTGCGCTAAGCCTAAAACCCCGGCCCAAAACTCATGAACCCTAAACCCGTAAAACCTAAACCCCTTCATCAAACCGCTAAACCCTAAACCACGGCACAAAGCTTTGGACATAAGGAGCCCAAAATCCCCCATCTTCCAACCGTCACAACCTATGAAATCGGAGGTCAACATCTCGAATATACAAACGCTGCAAGACACAAAATACTAATGACTGAACCTCTTCAAGAACCCAGGGAATCATCTCCCGGGTCCTGGATCTCGTTCGCGCATACCCGCCGCTGCCCAGGCCCCCCACCTGCAGTCGTGCTTTCCCATCACAGTGCTGACACCAAGCAATGCCAAGCAACAAGCAATCGCAACGTGTTGTGATTGCTTCCTGTGAGAGAGTGTCGGGGTGCGTCCCGCGTCTACCTCACCGAAGAGGTTAACGCAAAGGACTGCACTCGCCGAAACTTCACAGACAAGCAGTCCAACCACTGTGGGATTTCACAGCTGCTGAGCTTCTGGCTGAGGGATGCGCCGAAGTGCAGAAGATGCGGAAAGGTCGCAGTACAGCCACCCGTGCAAGAAGACAAAGTTTCGGCCGAGGCATGGCTGCAAATTCAAAGGATCTCAGTGGCCGGTTCTGGCACTTGCTGCCCATCATAACGAGATGATTCAGATCACTTATAAGTTTAAGCCTTTGGTGCGAGGAACCCATTTCAACATTCACTCAAGCCCGCATCTTGGAACTACTGAAGAGCCATCTCTGCGTATTCTCAGGTTCTCGTCTCGATAGACAGGATTCAGCCTCTTATCCTGAAAGCAAAAAGCTGCGCAGCACAAATGAAAGCCTGCACTTTCTCCGGGCTTTGATGTCACAGCTCGCAACTTGGACTCTAAGCTTCAGAGGCTTGGGAACTACGCATAGCCCTTGCCTACAAATGCTTTCATCAGGAGCAGGATCACAGCTGAGCTGCACTGCAAGTTGTACGTATATACATGTACGTATGCCGAAGATCTTCGAACTTGGGCAGCCTGTGCAGACTCTGCAAGTTGCGGATTTTGGTAAGTTTAGGAACAACCAGGGTCGCGGACTTTAGCTGCCTCCAGCCCGCATGGTCACCGAGAGTTCCAAGGATGGGCTGAGGCCGACCCTCAAGATTCAAGATGCAGCACTGCTGCGCAAGATCTTGTGAAGGACGCTACCCACCAACCTACTCAGAACACACGACCTAACCGAGGCATTCGCCATGCTCTGCCTCAGAATCGATGGGGGGCATGGCCCCATACTTCTCCTCGGAGGCACGCGAAATGCAAGATCAAGCGCACATTGGGCAATCCTGCACACCCCTCCCGACAAATGCTTTGGCCAGCTCCGTCACAGGCAAGTTGAGATCGCCCACCATGACGACGCACATCCGGCCTGGACACCGCAGCTGCCCAGTGTTCGTGCTGCCTAGGATGGCTCAGCAACAACAGTGACGGCACCATCGGTCAAGAAGTACATGGCTCAACACGAGCCCGCCAAAGCATATAAGGTCGAATAAGGCAGAATGCCAAGGCCACGGCCCATGGGTGGACCGTAGACTCCTCTCCGTCGCCGCTCCTGGCGTCAACCAGATCCTTCACATCTGCAGTGCCCTACCCTTTAAGGATCTCAACGAAGACGGAGCCGAGCATCCACATCATCTCTTGAGTCTCCACAGTGTTGCTGAGGTTGGCGGGGTGATGCTTCATGGCTACGACTCGAGAGTATGGCCCTGCGATTTGGGATCGGCGAAATCTACCAAGGTGGTGGACCTAGATGTCCAGTGCAATCCCCGTGATTGGAATCGGAATCCTGCAAAAGCTCCACACCCCAATAATCCCAAGCAAAATTCATGGATACCCTCCTGGCGCGTCTTCTCTGTCTTGCGTCTGCGAGCACTTCGTCTGAGCGGAGAATCCGATCTGGATTGACATGTGCCTTGTAATCGCATCAGAAGTGGCAGACTACCGGATTGTAACGGGCTCGGGCTTTAGGGAGCCACGCTGACACGGTTTGAGGCTTGTCTAGGCACTGTGATTCCGTACGAGTGCCTCCCCTTACTTTAGAGGCGAGGTATCTTCTGTACGTGACACGGACTCCTCGTTCTACTAAGGCTTTGCAGAGCCAGCACGTGACAGCCCTAAGCCGCCACATGCATCTTTGTAGGTAGGAGAAACTGCCCACAGGTTCATGCAATCTATGGGAAATGCCGAACAAGGCAAGGTGCATCTCGATGAGCATCGCCATGAGTGCCTGAACCGACAGGGCGAATGTTTAGCAAGCGGTGGAGCACCTAGTGCTCGCCATAGCTTCCCAGAAAGCGGAATAACAGTAGAAGACAAAAGGCTTTAGACGATGCTTTCAACAGGGAGCAGAGTGAGACCTCTGTCTGTGTTGATAGGGCCATACCGGAGATTCCGATTGAACAACCGCGGATACAGACCATCAATGCTAGATTCTACAATTGACTTTGTGCCGCGTGTCCGTCCCTGCGGCTCTAGTTCGCGCTGCAATGTACGTACTGTTTGTGTGCTTCAAGGTTTCTCATCTCAGGATTTCGGGAAGGTATCATGGGCAGGTCCCAACAGGTATTGCAGGCCCCCTTTCGACAAGAATCCCCTGCGACGAAAGCTCTGAAAAGCAATCTGAATATCGCACCTGCTGCATGTAGACGGTTTTGCCTGAGGGACACAAAATGAATGAAGACCGAGCGACGTCTCACGCGACTGTCAAGCCTAGGTGTTAAGCCTCAAGAGCCTGAACATCGACAACACACGATCCAAGGCTAGAGTGGGGCCACTGCCGACCAAAATTGCAACCTAGTGTTCATCCTGAACTCACGATCTTTAAGCAATACATGCTCCTCACCGCACGATCCGGCTTCTCCGAGCAATCCAGCACCATTGCCCCGACAGAGACTCCGGCAGGCCTTAACTCCACGCCTCCGACCACCCAACCCCAGTGCTTGCCAAGAGCAGCGAAAGATTCACGGCAGCTTCCCCTGTACCCCTAAACCCTAAACCCCTAAACCCTTACGCCAAAACCCCAAAACCCCGATATAGATCCCTTATAGAACCTTTTAAGGATCCCCTACAGAAAGGCCCTAAACCCTAAACCCCTAAGCCCTACCCATCCTGTCCTTCGCGCTCGCGCAGGCAGAGGGCGCAAGTGCGAGCCAAGCACTCCAGGAGCCCAAGGTCACGGATTCACCTGGGTCAAAGTTCAGGGTTTAATGGTTAGTTTAGGGTTTACGGGTTTAGGGTTCCTTTCAAGGGTTCCTTTACCAGGATCTAGCAGGGTTTGGGGTTTAGGGCTTCGGGGTTTAGGGTCAAAGATTAGGGTTTAGGGTTTAGGGGTTTGCGACCGAGCCGATGTGTCGGGGTGGGGGCGGGGTTGTTCTTGTCGGCGGCTGGGAATAGCGTGGAGGGGGAGGCAGGCGCGGGGGGGAAGGGGGGGGCGCGACAAGGCGTAGATTCGAAGTTCCGAATTGAGAGCAGCGGCTAACCAGCAAAGTAACGATGAAAGCACGCCGACGATGATTGCACTTTTAGCTCGGACGAAAGCACTGTAGCTCAAGGTCTGTCGGCCGTTAAAACGAAGAAAACGAAATCAATCACGAATGATTTTGAAGGTTTGCAAAGGGGGGGGCTGCGCCCTCCCCCAAACCAGCCGCTAGTTTTGACTACATCGCATTCGCCAAACACACAAGAAGGAGAAAGCCAGACGACAACCCATCATGCGGGTTAAAAGCAAAGCAAATAGAATCACCGCCGCTTCTTTTAGACTAAACTCCCGCTCTGTGAAGCCGCGACGAAATCAATACAACCGTGTTCGCCAACACAGCAAAAGCAAGTCAGATCAAAACGTTTCAGGGAAGGGTTAAACGCGAAGAAAATAGAGTCAATCGTGAATGATTTGGAAAGTGTGCAAAAGCGGGGGGTGCTGCGCCTTCTCCACCGCCGCGCTTTTTAAACTAAATTCCCTGCTCTCTTAAGTCCCATCAGACGAGGTGGAGAACGAAACCAACGCAATGAAATCATGAATGATTTGGAAGGTTTGCAAATGCGGGGGGCTGCCCCACCCCCTAACCCCCCGCTTTTTTAGACTAAACTCCGCGCTCTCCGAAGCGCCGGAACAAGAACCTCCCCCCCTTACAATACCAACTACAGACAATACTTGATACCACGTTTGACAGTACGACAGCAATGCCCAGCTCACAATTAGATCGCTTGCAATCCGAACGCTCAAACTCAATCCTTTTGCGGCGACTTCAGCCAATGTCGAGTCATGGAACATCAACCTCCCCCCAAGAACAACCACTCGGGGATCCTTACTATAATTGCAATACAAGGTACCCCCAAACCCTAGTCTATTAATTAAGGCCCCTGTATGGGGAATGAGCTTTTTTCTTTGTAAAAGGGCGAAAAATCAATTACTAGCCCATCTTCATACAGCTAGCATAATTCGTCTGCTGATCTTCAAAAGCTGACCCCTATAGGCTCAACGAAGATGAACACGATGACTATCCAAAGATCGAGTCCTTACTCCTTCAGCCTAAACCCTAAACCCTAAACCGGTCAACACTGCGGATACCTCATTGCGCTGAGTGGCGACGCGTCAACGGCGCCTGGCCTGAACCTGTCAATGGCAATGCACCGAACCCACTTTCGGGTTCAGGGTTTTGGTTTGTTTAAGCTTCAGGGTTTAGGGCCTATGGTTTTTCCGAACTCCGTCTCTCTTCTGTCTGGTTCTTAGCAGGAAACGGGGGGATGGATCCCTATAGTAGTCCCTATAGATCCCCAATAAATAGTCCTCATAACCCATTCCCCCATTGCCTTCTAAGAACCAGACAGTCTAGTACCCATATAGTATCCCTTATAGTAGCCTTTATAGTAGTCCTTGTAGACCCCTTTAAAGGGACCCAGTCCGTAAGGGCAAACATGGAAGGGGCTCCAGTCGACCCGATGGCAAAAGTCTGTGATGGTGTCGGCTTTGCCCAGAGAAGGCATGTGGCCAAGACCTTGCGGTGTGTGAATGAGGTTTCGGGTGTGGGGCCTAAGTACCCAGAGAGCCCAATACCCCTTAGTTAGATATACCTTAAATTATATAAGGGGGTTCATATTATGATATAAGCTATATTCCTTAATGAAAGGGTATTGCGCTCTCTGGGTAACCTTTTTGGGGGTGCTAGGGCTGCTCCCAACCGAAATTCTGCTGACGAGGCCGTCCACATTCTAGGGCGTGCTCCTTTCCTATGCCTGGAATCCACAACCGTATAATCTAAAATCTCTTCAAAACCCTAAACAGTGAACCCCTAAACCCTTGAAAAAAAATGCCCCCCCCCCCCCTACGCAAACCCTACTACTCTGTCGTGGGGGCTCCTGAAGGAGTCCTTCTGCAGACAAAATCTGAGACCCCTGCGGCCAGCCGGGTGGCAAGCTGCGTGCGCGCCATCGTAAAAGGAAGAGCGTTTAGGGTTTAAGAGTTTTTTCCCCAGATTCCAGCATCCCTGATAATGAAGGGGTCTTTTTACTGTCATTGTTGACCTACTGTAGCTTAAGGGATACAGTGAAACGGGGCTCCCCTAGATTCTGAAGCATCTCACCTTCTACTGCTATCATTGTCAGCGGTGCCCAAAATGATGAAACCTTGAACCCTAAACTCTGAGCAATACCCCTAGCTTTTCCACTTGCCACCAGCCGACAGCTCCAAGCCGCATAGCTGAACAAAGCGAGTTTGCAGCACTGCCGTAATACATAGGGCGTTCATAATTGAATATATTATATTACAACTATGACTACGTTCGAGGTACCATTATTGATTATTCAGCAGACAGTGCACCTGCGTGTGGCTTCCGTTCGCATCGGCTTTGTGCGGAAGTAGCTGTAGCTGCAATCGGCTTTGCATTGACTAATGTTAATGTGTGATACCGAGCTGGGACTGTCTCGCTTCACTCCTACAGCTGTTGCTGGTGGCTTGCATGCGGCCGCTCTGAAGCAAGATCAATGAATGGAAGTGGCGTCGGTCTATCAAGTGCACTTCAGCTTCGCATGGTTTCATCTCAGCACCTGTTTTCCTCCATCCACTCCACCATCAAAAATACCCCTAAACCCTCAACCCTAAACCCTCAACCCTAAACCCTAAACCCTAAACCGCAGCATCGGCCTGAACATGATACGTTCTTTGCACTGCTACGCCATCGGTCCGAACAGCACGGACAGTTGAAGGCGTTTCCTGCGACCGTGGGGTTCCTAGGCTTCCTGGGCAAGAAGCTACCGAAGTAGGTGAGTGTCCCTATCCAAAGTGTTCTGCAACTGCATGGAGGCAGGATGTGCGTGAAGCTTCGATGATTGCTCTGGGCCAAAATGCACCGCCTGATCAGATGCATGTACAGCGTCGTGAGTGCAGCCGCACATGTGCAAGTGGTTGGTGACCGTTCGGAGGCTTCGTGCAAGATGCGAGCTGCTGGCTTTTGTGCTCAAGTCCTGGAACTCGGTCGCAAAATGTTCGAATTTTATTGGAACTTCATGAAATAACCCCCCCAGATTCCGGGAAGAATCAGGTCATGAAGACCACACACGAAGATCCGAACGCGCAGACTGGTCAAGCCTGCGCTCCATTTCGTCTGTCGAACTAAGACTCATGACGGAGTTGTTTTGGAGGGCTGCCTTCGGCAAGAACCCGAAATGCCTTAAAAGCAAAACACCGCCGGAGCTTCGGACAAAAGCATGCGGGTATCAGCAGTCTGTTGGACAAGCTGAACGGTGCCAAGATGGCCTCTGAAGCAGGCCCGAACACGAAATACACTGAGTGGAGGTGCCGTTGTGAAACCTTCCTTAAGCAGAGACTTTTTGAGTGAGTTAGTCGGTAAGAAACACCTTTCTTGCAAGAGTTCAATTACACAGCATGCCTAATACACCATCTGAGTACACTAGCAAAAGCATGGCCTCTTAGGAAAACCAAACCGACCAGAATCCGAGTGATGCTCCTGGGCAGCGAGATTACATATTCGTGCCTCTGTACGCGAAACACTGCTCTTAAAAATGATTGCAAAGAGATGAACCCGCAGCAATGTTGCGAGTTGGCCATCCCTACAGAGCATGGTCAGATGGCCACACTGAGCGCAGCCAGGACGACTTCATCCAGCAGCGCTGCAGCAGAGCGTGCTCGGTTGCCCTGTAGGAAGGAATCCAAGCGATGCAACACGAGGTCCTCAACATGGTTTAGGGTTTTGCGTTGAGGGCTAGAAGACTCCAAACTCGAATCATGCACACCCCTGACCTTGCTGGGCAACAAGCTGGGCTCTTGAGAAGGAACGTAACTTTGGCTTCCATCATAGGGTTTCCATCATAGGGATCTATCAGGAGTAATATGGGTTCCTCATTATGGTAACTTAAACTAAACCAGTTGACCCCTAAACCCTACAAGAACCCTTAAAGGAACCCTAAAAAGGAACCCTATACTATGGTAGCTTAAATTGCCTCCGTTAACAAGAATCCAGAAAAGGGTCCTGCAGTCCCATGTTGAAACCGTCGGGATCGCTGATTTTGCCGAGGACGAGCTCCTGGTGCACCAACATGACGTGAACGAAGCTTCGCAGATGGCTTTAGGGGTTTAAGGTTTAAGGTTTAAGGCTTAGGGTTTAAGGCTTAAGGTTTAGGGTTTCGGGTTTAGGGTTTGCCGTAGAATAGCGCGTAGTATCTTGAAAAAAGGCTGTGTCGAGTGCGACGAGCTGTCAACGCCTGTTTATAGAAGGCTTTGCCCTCATGCTCTCCCACCCATTCCACAAAAGGCGGCCAAACCACCCAGACCTACCTTTCCGGGTTTCGACCCTAAACTCATGCCAGCGCTTTCTTTCTTCTCAGATCGCCAGTCAAAGACTTGCAGGGCAGGGCAGGGAAGAGGGGAGGGCAGCGGAGGGAGAACAGGGGCAAGGGGCAGGGCGGGCTCACGTACAGGTCAGCCTTTGCGATTGATTTGGAGGGGCTTAAGCGCCACCAAATTCGTGGTAGGTGGGCGGCCCAAACCTTGAGTTTAGGGTTGAGGGTTCAGGGTCCAGTGGGTTTAGGGTCTAAAGTTTAGGGATTTGGGTTCAGGGTTTAGGGTTTAGGGTTTCAACAGCAGGATAAACTGAGGATCCAGGCTCCTTGTCTGCGGGGAATGAAGCTTCAGCATCCCTGACATCCAATCGCGCAAGCCTTTCCAAACAAAGGTCCCTGGCCGCCACCGAGTGGATCTTGATCGCCTAGCATGGCCAACACTCCAGTGGTTGCCCGTGCTGCATCCACAGCTTGACAGTCACTACAAGGGTTTGCACCGTAGCTGTTAGAAAGACCTCCGCGAGCACTGCCTGAACCCTAACGCATGGCACCAAAACTTGATTCCACAAACAGCTAGAACCTGGGACTCACAAGCGCACCAAAAAATCAGCTGCTTCCGAATGCCTGTGGCAGGTGGAGCTCATGCGCTTCCACAAGCTCCGCCAAGCACCAAACCCTCGTCAGGAGCGAGAAATCGGCCTCCAGGGAACTCTGCGCTGGTCACCGTAAGACTGAAGATTAGCATGGTCAAAAGGATACCAACAATCAAAACATTGTTGGTAATAATTGCTGGTATGAACTAAGGAGACTTAGAATGATACCAAACGTGAACAACGACCCTGAGACTTGCTTTACGCTGAATCTGAAGCCTGGGAAGGGTAAAGAGGCAGAGAGATGTGCAACAGGGGAAAGATGCCGTCCAGATATTATAAACAACAACTGTACAGGGTTACTGTATGCATCTATATAGGGATACTTTAGAGATCTATCTATCTATCTATCTATCTATCTATATTTTCATCTATCTATCTGTCTATCTATCTATCTATCTGTATATATATATATATATATATATATGTATGTATGTATGTATGTATGTATACATATATATAGATATACATATACATATATATATATATATATATGTATATATATATATATGTATATAGGGTTACGATATGGATCAATAGGGTTACAATATGGATCTAGATAGGGTTAATATATGGGTCCTTATGAGCCACATCATTTGGGTTTAGGGTTCAGGAGGGCTTTACGATCTGTGCCTCCAGAGCCACCACTTGCTCCAACCGTGCCTGCCGGACGAGTTGCTGAACATGAACTGCGAAAGCATGCTGGCTACCAATGATGGCAACAGCAAGGTCAATACCAATGGCAGTCATGTTTCAAATCTTAACAAAAGAAAAGCATGGTGCAACCATCGCAACACCTGAAAAACCGACAAGTTTATGCGTGTTTAAGGTTACTGGCGTCGTCACTTTCATTCTCAGGATGCTTTGATGGCGGTGATGATGGTGATGATGGTGATGATGAGGAGGAGGATGATGCTGATGATGCATGTGATGGTGATGACGACAATGATGATAATGGTGATAATGGTGATGATGGTGGTGATGAGGAGGAGGAGGACGAGGAGGAGGAGGAGGACGGCGTGGAGGGGGAGGAGGATGAGGAGGACGAGGAGGAGGAGGAAGATGATGACACCACTAGTTCACTGGTCATGGTTTAGGGTAGCTCGAAGATGGAGCATAACGACGATACTCGCACTTTGCACATTAGTCCGCTGAAGGTGTAGATGACTGCTTGTAACAGAGGGAGATACATAGAGACGCCCAGGTTAAAACAGGGCCTTAACAATCAGAATAGGGTTTTGGGGCCCATTATACTGTAATTATACGGAACCCCTAAAACAGTACTGTTGGTTATGAAATTTGGAGTATAAGGTCGCAGTCCTTCTATCAATCAAAAGAACCGAAAATGAGGGGTGTACCTTAGGGTTCCTTTAACGGGCTACTACAAGGATTGCTATGAGGTTCCTTTAAAGGGCTCTACAAGGGCTATTTCCGAAAATTATGGGTACCTTATATTGGGGTTCTTATCACTATTTGGGGTTCTAAAATGGGGTCCCCTATTTTCGGAAACCAATCGGGACTCCACACACGCGGTCCCGAACGCATTCACCCGGGGCTTCAGCAGCCTTTAAGGGCTCTGAGGCATTCCTCTCACATCGAACGCCAAAGGCTCGAAAGCCGCGTAATTAAGGAATATGCCTTAAATCTCACTAGGACTCCCATTACAAAAGGCATATTCCTCAATTACGGGGTGGTGGAGTCTCTCGGTTTGAAGGCCAATGGCTTCCCAATTCCCGTCTCAAACCCTGCGAAACTCCCAGCCAGTCCACAAAGAGTCACACGTTCTAAAATTTGGACTCTGAAGCCTAAACCTAAAACTCTCAACCGTTCTGTCGCAACCGCACTTCTACAATGGCCATAGCCGCATCCGGCGGCTATCGGCTACCTGAAGTAAGCTTCCGACTGGGAGTACTCAATATCGGGGCCTGAATAATTAGACTGGTTTTGGGATGTGTTATACTATAATTGGAATAGGGAACCCTCCAAAATGGAACAGGCGATTACCAAGGCCTCTATAGTAGGCTGGATCATGACCAAACAAAGACGCGTAGAGGTAGAGCCCAATGCCGCAGGTGCATGAACTATCCGCTGGCCGTAGCATGCTGACTGTTTCTGGTTACCGATTGGGAGAGGGGAGCACTCTAACTACCTTACGACCTTAGTTACCAAGCCTTGTAATCCAGTAAATAAACCCTAAATCCTCATCCAACGACCCATGAGCCCTAAACCCTAAACCCTAAACCCTAAGCCCTAAAGCCTAAACCCTAAACTTAAACAAACACCCAAGAATCTCCCCGTCGGCCGTCGGCCTTGCCCTGCCGACGCAAGGACTTCTTGAGGTGCGCCATCATGTCGTCGAACTTGTTCATCTCCTTTAAGAGAGAGTCTGGAAAAAAGATTCAAAGCCAGTCCCTTAAGCCTCCCTTAAGCCCCCCTTGTTCATCTCCATTTTAGGCGTGGAGCTTTGGGTTTCGTGTTTAGGGATGTCAGCTTGGAGGGGCCTACTTCTTGGCCTTGGGGTCTAGCTTGAGGTGCCAGTGTGTGGGCTTAGGGAGGCCACCTTGCAGCTAAGCTTCGCTGAGATCTCCCTCGAAATACTTTGGCGTGCTGCACTGGCACGGGGTTATGGCATACCCCGTTGAGTCTGCAGGTGGAGGACTCGCACAGATCCCGGTGTGCTGGTTCACTGAGAGTGCACAAATCCAATAGCGGACATCGAGCTTGCCCTTCTTGTGCAAGGCTTCAGTCAGCATGCCAAAGTCACGCTCTGAAAGGCTTCTCGCAATCTCGTCATACTTCTCCGCATCCAAAGCATCAGCAAGAACGGCGGCGAAAAGATGGGTGAACTTGGCTGACTTAAGTCTCTGATGCGGACAACTTCCCACGGACCAAAGGATGCTAATTGTCATGGGACGAAGCGGCTTCTATGGTAGAAGGACCAGAAGAACAGGAAGAAGAAGAAGAAAAAGAAAGAAGCAAGGTTTCAAAAGTTGGGATCCACCAACTGGAGAAACACGAGTGCAGAGATAGTAGGAGAGAGTGAAGGGCAGAACTTTCTGACAGGGTGCCTTGTTACGCCAGCTGTGCGTGACCATCTTTACGGCGAGATGTGCACAGCCGCCATTCACAACAGTGGCATAGGCATAGCCTTCACCTGCCGCTTCCTCTCCTCCGAGCACTCCACGCGAAGCGCTGAGGCGTAGCTTTGTTGGGGAGAAACCGCCACGAATCACCACGTTCTCGTCGATATCATCTGCCTCCTCGCCATGTCAAGCTCGCCGGTTTAGGGTTTAGGGTTTAGGGGTTTAGGGTTTAGGGTTTAGGGCTTAGGGGTTTAGGGTTTTGGGTTTTGGGTTTAAGGTTTACACACACACACACAAGTCACACCAAGCAAGGCAGTAAGTATTTGCGTCAAGCCAGTGGATGAATTTGACCCGGCTTCCTGTAGCACACCAGGACTGGCATTTCTCCACAAGGACGATGCTCCAGTGACCAATTTGTGCAGCGTCGTGACATGACTGGCCTGTTTCATACAGAAAATTCATCTTGAGCGGTATTGAACCAGGGACCGATTGGAAGCAAGAGCAGTAGCAGCAGTAGCAGCAGCAGCAGCAGTAGCAGTAGCAGAAGTGGCAGCTGCCGTTCAGGATGTCGTAGTATAGTCGAACATCACAGTGGAGTGCTAGAACAGACTCTGGTATATAGTATGTCACAGTATGCATAAGACTAGAACAGACTCTGCTATCTTATATATTCCTGTATAAGACTAGAACATACTATGGTATATTATATATTACAGTATAAGACTAGAACAAACCATGGTTTATTATACCATGTTATAGTATATTATACCATCTTATACCATATTATAGCATATTAGACCTTCTTATACCATAATACAGTATATTATACCATCTTGTAGTATATTACACCATATTATACCATATTCTATTCTAGGCCAGGAGTCCCTGCCTCCTTGGCCTCCCGCGCTTTCTCTGCACTCATATAGACTTCGACGGAAACCTCGGCTGGCGCATCAGGGTTTAGGGTTTAGGGTATAGGGTTTAGGGTTTTAGAGTTTCGCTTGCTCTCTCCACCTTTTTTACTTCGTTTTGGGGAAGGCGGGGAGGGGCCTGGCCCTTAACCCTGAACCCTTAAACCCCTAGAAGACAGGACTGCCTCGCGGCTATACGAATATACTGCAACATACTGCAAAATACGATACTTGCCTATATCCCATAATCGGTTACCCGGTATAATGTACGATAAAACGTCATAAAATTTCCATAATGCACTATAGCATAGCGAATGAGAGCAAACCGAGCAAATCCCATCAGGAATACCCACCAGAAATCGACAGCACCATGTTGCCAGAGTCATGAATATCATCAACAACAGCAACACCATCATCGTGATCAGCATCCTTATGGTCCAGACAATGATGGCAATGACGGTGGCTGAAAGGTTTAGGGATGAGGGTTTGGGGTTTAGGGTATAGGGTCTAGGGGTAAATCGGTAAAAGGACGTCAAGAAAGCCGCCGCCGCCATCTGTGCCTCCTCTGAGCTCGAGAAGCACTTGCTGACCCTGCCAGACGCTCTCTGCCTGCAGTCTCGTAGAAACCCTAACCCCAAAATAAATACACATATAGAAGCTCAACAATTCACATAGCAACCGTTGCAGCTGCTCCTTTAGTATGCTCAAACAGCTGCACTCCGCACATGTCTGCAGAGGAATCAGGTCTACATGCCGAGTCTGGCACAGACAGAGACGTCTTGCCAAGGGGATCGTCGCTGGAAAGAAAGTCGCGATCCCAAACACTGAAGTGGAGATGGTCCTCTTGGAAGACATCCTCGAGCAAAGAGGAATGGGTCGCGGGATCAGTTGCTGAGAAGGTGTTGTCCCCATGAAGTTCGACTTCACGGCTGGGCTATGCAGAACAGATCCCCCCCAAAATCCGATTTCAACGTCTACACAAGTTTGAGAGGTCCTCCACAACGAATGCCTCGTCCCAAACCGGATTCTGGCCATGCGCCACATGGGTGCGACCCCCGCCTTTCCAAGGCTTCTCAAGGCCTTCCCCCGGGCCCTGCACCGACACGATGCAATAGGGGTCCGAGCCCGTGAAATCCACGGAAGCCAGCTCCGTCGCCCGATGGACCACCACGAGGAAACAGCGAGTTTCTCTCAACTGCAAAGACCGTGGGATGATGGCTTGCCGCACAACCTCACAAGCCGAACATACCATCTCTGACTTGCATCACTACTGAGCCAACTTTCTGAATCCAAACAAGCCACATCGTGCGTCGTCGACCGGCTGGGATCAAAATGTTTCATGTTGCCCTGACCAAGATCTGCGTAGAACTCGAGCAGCTGGCGGATTGTGAGGCCCCGACCTTGTAGTTTATTGCTATTACCATTATTCAATCGTGATTAGTATTTGTACGGTTGATGATGTAAATCCTGCATTACCCATAATAAGGAATATACCATAATTCCCATAGTTTAGGGTACTTAAAGTAATCCCGGATTTATATCATCAACCGTAGAAGTAATACTGTACCAAATGCTGGAAAATCCAAACTTTTCGTGTTCTGGACACTCAGAAGCTTGTAAAAAATGTATCTCCTTCCAAAACTACGATCATTAGTGCTATTACCTTATCATTATCTGTAGTAGTAAAACTGTTTGTAGAACTCTTATGTTTCTTCTGCCTGTTATTACGACGACGACGACGGCGACTACTACTACTACTAACTCTTATTAATCTCATTTATTACGGCGGATTGTCAGACCCCGACCTGCCAGCTCCCGCACCTTTTCGAACCACACCTCTCCATGGGTTTCGGGTGCACTGGGCTGCGTGGGGCCGGCATCTGCCAGTTCTCGCACCTTCTTGGGTTTAGGATTTCTAGGGGTTTACGGTTTAAAATTAGGGGTTCATGGTTTAAGAGTTCAGGGTTTAGGCCAGGTTAGGCTTTAGGGGTTCAGGGTTTAGGGTTTAGGCACCTGCCTGAAGATCCAATCCCAGCTTCTTCGGTGGCACGATCGGCTCTCCCGCACGTCCGCAGCGCAACAGCTCAGTGCCAAGGCTGGAGAAGAAGCACGCGAGCAGCGGAACGATCACCAGCTTTCGCCTTGGGAGGGCGCCTCCTCTTCTTTGGCTAATGACAAATATCACCACCACCACCACCACCACCACCTCCACCACCACCACCACCACGCACGGCATCATCACCACCATCACCATCATCATCATTTGAAGCACCGGTAACTCGACTAGTACTAGAGACTGGATTGTCTTCGTAGCAGCAGTCGCCCGCGCATTGTGTTGTCGTCGTAGCAGCAGCAGCAGCAGCAGCAGCAGCGGTAGCGGTAGCGGTAGCAGTACAGTAGCAGTAGTAAACGTCGTCGTGGCACCGGCAGAAGCAGCTGCAGCAGCACTAATGCTGCGAGTGTCGGTGGCATCTTAACTGTTATAGCTCCAAACAGCGCCGTCAAGGCCACGATCACGACGATGGGATTGCACATCATCATCATCATCGTCATCATCATCATCAGACCGTCGCAGCACTATCACCATCTTCATGGCACAAAATGAAAACAAGTGCAATGGTCACGGCCACGGTCGCTGCATGGCACTCATGTGGTTTTATACAAGTTTCGTGGCCCCCTGAACCTCGAATGCAGGAAAGCTGCAGAAGCACCACTGCGAAGGTGAACATCCATTTGAACTCGTCGGCCTCTGACAGGTTAGCCAGAAATGCAGTGACGACCAAGAGCTGGATCAAGGACAGGCCGATACTGAACATCCAGAAAGCCAGGTCTTTGCAACGCCGCATCCACAGCTGCCAGCGCCGCCGGCCTGACCTTTCTTGCACAAAGCTGCGGTAGGCCAGGTGGCATTCCAGACTGCGTGGCAGGAAATTCAGCAAAACCGAGAACATCGCAACGAAGGTGTACCACAAGAATGTCCCTTGCTCAATCGGGCAGTCTGCGGGGCTTCTCGCCGCCACCGCCGACCCGTCCACGGAAAAGAATAAGGCAACAAAAGCCATGGATCCCAGTACGCAGTCCATAATGATCTTGGCACGCTTGGCCGCGGTCATGTGGATGTCGCACAAACAGAGCTCGTAGACGGGGTGCGTTGCCACCAGTGAAGCCCAAAGCCGATGTGCCTGTCCGGAGGCCGATAGGTCCAGTGCCACATTTCTTAGTAATTAATACGGTCGATGATATAAATCCTGCAATATCCATGATAAGGCATATACCATAATTCCCATAGTTTAGGGTCCTTAAGGCAATGCAGGATTTATATCATCAACCGTGCTACTTGTATTTCGCTTTAGTCCAGAATTCAGAATAGAGTGAAACAAGAACATACCCCGAACCCCTACTCTACATATTCAGGCGTCCTTGGCTTTGCTGGGCCGAACTAGGTGCGCTCAGGGAAGCTTAAGGCTTCTGCTCGTAAATCCCAAAGCGAAAATACCCTTCATGGGACCCCCCTAAACCCTAAACCCCGAAACCCTAAGACTAAGCCCCTGAACCCCTAAAGCCTAAGCCCTATCTGCCAGTTTTGATGCAAGGAGCTCGCGACGCGTGGACCCTTGCTTTGATTTGGGCTGAAAGGAAAGAGATGGTACTCTGAGGTCTCCGCCTTTACCTATTAAAACCTGCTTTGTTTGTAGGGTCCCTACAAATTCATTATTAAGGTTTATAGCAAGAACTTACAAAAAAGTAGGGTTTGGCAGGATAAGGCAGGGACAGGAAGGGTTTACGATGGGATTGGGTTCATTCTCAGAAGACCTGGGCCAAGCAAGGCACTTCACGAAGGAGGAGGGTAAGCTCTCCTCCATCTGCAAGGCCATTTCCTTCGGGGTGCTTGTTAAGGACCTTAATTTAGGCTATCATTATAGGGATCTTTCCCACATAATATGGTACCCGGATTATGGTAACTTTAGATGAAGTCTCTAACAAGAACCCAGTTTCCTTCATCAAGGGAGACCGATGGGTGGCCAAGCTCCCTTGGACCCAGCCACGGCGACCCCAGATGTGCATTTCCTGGGCTTAGAAATAACCATGGAGAAAAAGTACAGATTTTTATTTCATAATGGTTCCCTTTAAGTAACAGGTCCTAAAAAAGTGTTAAACCCTAAACCCTAAACCCTAAACCGTATGGTACTCCAAAGTCCAGTTTCGATGGAGTTGATGTGCAGATTGTGACGCAGAGCGGCCTCCCACCTCAATTTTTTCCGGAAAATCCCAGCACCGCCCTGCCTCCTATGCTTGCTTTTACCTGTAACTATTGTTAAACATACTGTTAATACTATTAACAATAGCATAATGTTAATGTTATTAATCAACTCATACTGGTTCACTAAAGAGAATTAGTAAACTCATACTAGTTCACTAAAGAAGATTAATAAGCTCATACTAGTTGACTAAAGAGAACTCCTCGGTTTGCCGAGCCGCAAAGTGTTTCTACAGATCGTGCTCTCTTGCAAGCCGGACGCCAGGGAGGGTTTCGCCCTGTGGAGCATCCGCTTCTGCAGCTGAGCAAGCTGAGCGGGTGATTCCTGGGTTCTTGTTAAGGAATTTAACTTAAGTTACCATGATAGGGATCTATAGTAAATAATGTGGTTTCCTGTTTTATGTTACTGCTAACTTAAATCAAATGCCTTAACAAGAACCCAGATTCCGAAATCCCAGCGATTCCTGCTCGCAGCTGCGACAATGCCGACTTCGGAGGCTTAGAAGGTGCGGAGTCCGCTTTCTGCTCCTTTTCCTCGATCCCTGGCACTTCACCGGGCTTCGAAGCGGAGTCGCCGGTCCTTCTGCAAGTCCCGCAGAGTCTCCCTTTCCTTGGCAGTTGTGCCGGTGGGAGGTCCGTCAGGAAGTACTCGTCCCTCCAAAGCCCCGAGCGGCGGACACGCGCATCAGTAATGCAGCCGAAGCAGATGAGCAGAAAACATGCGAAGAGCAGCAGCCAAAGCCCCAAACCAGGCGGTCGCAGCCACCAGTCCTGGCGCTCCACGATCTCCTTGAGCCCTTCCGGCGTCAGCATGTTTGCATTCCTTGCAAGGGCGAAAAGGGCGAATTGGGAAAGGACAGGAAGGGAAAGCCTGGCGAGGAGATGTGCGGGCAAGTAATCCTCAACCCTTAACCCGACCGGGGAATCTCGTCTGCCAGGATCTGATGTCGGGGCGAGCCGCGTGCAGTCCAGGAGGATGTCGACGAAAGCGCCAAAGATGGAGAGGTGCTCTGTGGCACACCTTATGCTAGCTGCCACACGTTTGATACACTTCAGTAATCTTTAGGCCCTACCCCGCCACACCAAGAGCAGGACACGCCCGACCCAACCGAGCTAGCTGGGGGTCCAGCCGGGCGTACAAAACCCAGCTTTCTTCTCCCGAAGCTTCCCCCAGATCCCCAGTACCCTCCCCCTTGAACTATGCCTCCGTAAACGCTAAACCTGAACCCTAAACCCTGAACCCGAAACACCTAAACCCTAAACCCTAAACCCTGAGCCCTAAACCGTAAACCCTAAACCCATGACATCATGCCTGTTCAAAGTGCTCAGGCTTAGCTTCTGGGGCCCGCGCCAGGTTCCAGAAACCTCCGCCGTGGCCCCAAAGACATCCTCGGTTCCCCAGCGGCCCCCTTAAGGGTTTAGGGTTTAGGCATAACGGGTTAGGGTTTAGGGATTACGGTTTGGCCCAAGAAACTCTGCGCCTACAAAACAGGTACATAGGACCCTTTGAAACCCTGTGCCTACCATATAGGTACATATATTTTTACCCTTTGAACTAGCATCCTCGAGCTCCGACAGGGTCGCAAGCCGCACGCCCTCGGTGGACCATTCGCCACCGTCGCCGGCTTCTTCGTCCCAAAAGGCCTGACATCTATCTACCTGCCTACCTCCCTACCTATCGATCTGGCAATCTATCGATCTAACTATCCATACAGGTACAAGTAAAGAAAGAAAGAAAATTTGGAGAAAGAAACCAAGAAAGAACCAACCAATAAAGACTGAACAAACAACGGAAGCAAGAAAGAAAGAACGATAGAAACAAAGAAATACCGAAAGAAATAAAGAAAGAAATGAAGAAACACGGAATGAATAGATGAATGAATGAATGAATGAATGAATACATGAATGTTGACAAACAGACAGACAGACAGACGGAGAGTCAGATAACTCTGTCTGCCTCCCTCCCTCCCTCCCTCCCTCCCTCCCTCGCTCGCTCTCTCTCTCTCTCTCTCTCTCTCTCTCTCTCTCTCTCTCTCTCTCTCTCTCTCTCTCTCTCTCTCTCTCTCTCTCTCTCTCTCTCTCTCTCTCCATAGACACGTATGCGTGTATACAGATAGAATGACAATGTGTAGAGATATATACGTGTATAATAGATACGTAGATAGGTAGATAGATAGATAGGTAGAGAGAGATTGTTAGATAGATAGATGGGTGGATAGATAGATAGGTAGATAGACTCATAGATTCATGGATGGATAGGTAGATAGATGGATACGCACACCCACGCAGGTACACTCATAAATGTGCATGTATGTGTGTGTGTGTGTGTGTCTATATAGATATGTAACTATACACATGTGTATATATATACACGGAAACAATACATGTGTGAATACCTATCTATCTATATATATATATATACATATATGTTTGCTCATGTATTTACACACCTTTTCCTATACCTATACATACACATATACAGGTACGAATAAATACACGTGTGCATCTACATATATGAATTCACACATGCATATACATACATATGAACATAGCCATCAACGTAATTTACATATACATATACATATAAGTATACATCTACATATGCACAGACATGTACATACACATATGCGTACAAATAAGCATATGTATATACTTATGCTAAACCATATACATATACATATACACATACACAAACATATACATAGACGTGTACATATGCATACACATATGCGATCACATACTATATATATATATATATATATATATATATATAGATATACACATGTGCATATGTGTGTATACACATACATGTGCGTATGTATGTACGTACGGATGTATGTATGTCTGTGAAAGATTACCTATGTATATATATATATATGGATAGATGTTAGGGGGGGCGTCTTTTCTTGCAGGAGAAAACTTTATCGATTCTTCGGACTACTTTGTTGATGCCAGCGGTTTACGCAGACTACTCATTCTATCCATACCACATTAAGAAGCTGGAGAGGCAGTCTGAACTTGATATTTATCAACCCCAATCTGCTTTAAGGGCTTAGGGTTTAGGGTTCAGACTTAGGGTTCAGGTCGGGCTTGGGGTCTGGGGATGTGTGAGGAAGCCGAAATCACGTCCGGGCTGCGCAGATCCAATTTGACTCCGGCTCCAGTGTGGCGACGCGTATGTAGATTGGAGGCGCGCGGCTGCCCAGGCGCACGGCACGCGCTTGCAGTGTCTGTACGTCGACGAGGGAGACATCCACGAAGGGGGCGGCGGCCTGAAGTCACAAAGAGATCGTGGTGCCTTCCCAACCCTAATGACATGTTACCGACTCTCTCATCAAAGACTCTGCTACAAACAATTACCACCATTATTCTTATTGATGTCATCTGCTATTTTTGTTCTTACTCTTATGATTGCTTGCCATTGTTATTGTTCTGCTTAGATCTTACTTGTATGTCAAAAAGATCTTGCTAGTATTACTACAAGACTGCGTGTTTGAGCTTATCCTCAAGTCTCGGCTTCGATTCACGTGCTCTACACAAGCACATCCACCATGTTCCATTCGATCTCCTCATGCCAAACATGATGTGCATGTGGGTTCGGGGTCTAGTGTTTAGGCCACTCTGGTTATCACGTGGGCATTGAACTCAGCTCTTCTTTGCCAGTTCCTCCAGTTCACTCAGCTCTCTCTTCCTTTCGAGCGACCTCTTCTTGCTTGTGAACGCGATTCGGTGCGTTAGCCTTGACATGTGATGTGTCATTGTCTACAAACTCACGTCAAGTCGCTAGAAGACATGCATCTTCAACTTTCTCTTGAGTTCCTTTCTCTGGGATGTGTCGGCATTGTTTCAATCTGTTCTAACACCGATGCACACAAACTGGTATGCTTGGTCAGTTGCTCTTCTGACTCCTCCGCCGCCGTGGTGCCGCCGTCTCATCAGCACTACAGATAATTCTTTCTTTCTAAGGCCCCTCATACCAAGCGCTATAAAGCCCTGTAGTATACCCTATACAACACCCTGTAGAACCATGACGTATATATATGATAGTAATGCATTATGTATAGTAAGGAACCATACTATTACCACCCATGACTACCGAGACTGCAACCCTAAACCCTAAAACCTGCAGCCTAAATCCTAAACCCTGAACCCTGACCCCTGAACCCCCGAACCGCTGAGCCCTAAACCCCAAACCCTAAACCCTAAACCCTAAACCCTAAACCCTAAACCCTAAACCCTAAGCCCTAAAACCCAGGGCCCCCCTGCGGCCTGGATGGGGCGGCCGGCCTCCGTCTTGGGCTTGGTGCCGCCCAGAGCATCACCCGCCTCCTCAAAGAAAGGACCCTTCTGGTAATCCTTATTATGGGTCACCCTTATTGATGGTATACCTTATAGTATCCATGATAGCATCCCTTATCGTTTCCCGTATATATCCTTACAGTATCCCTTATGGTATCCCTTATAGTATCCCTTAAAGAATCCTTATAGTATCCCTTATAGTATCCCTTATTGAGCTTCGAGCTTTGTGTGGCTCTGCTACTTTCGGAATACCCTTCGGGTAGAGTCGGGATGACGAGGCCCCAGCAGGGCTAGGTTTAGGGCTCGTGGGTCAGGGCTTGGGGTTTTAGGGCTTAGGGTTTTTTTAAAGCACCTTTTTCCACCTAGCAGTTAAGGTCGGCGGAATCCTCATTGAGGAAGGCTACTGCCTGACTTCTAAGCCCCCTTCACACTGGTAGGGCTTGGGGTTTTAGGGCTGAGGGTTTAGGGGTTAGGGGTTGCGGGATAGGGCTTAGTGGGTTTAGGCGGCTTCGGGTGCATTGCAGAAGCCTTACAGGAACACCTCAAAGGAATCCTTAGTGTCCTCCTCAAAGAGGGTCACCACCAGCGCAGAGCCGTTCCCGAAGGCCTCACAGCCGAAGCGAGACCGCCCCTGAAGGCCTTAACACTAGAACTGAATGAAAATTAGTCATCATGGGGTTCCTTTTGAGGCTTCTTCAGAAGGTTCTGCAAGGGATCCATAACAAGGGTGTAGGTGCGTCCTTCCGACCGCTACGTTACAACCAGCAGACTTTGCAAGTGCCTCACAGACCTCACTGCAGGCAGCAAAGCATGCGATGGGTTTTGGGATTTGGGGTTATCGGGTATACAGGTCAGGGTTTAGGGCTTGAGACCTGACCACGTGCAGGATCTGCAAGAGAGGCACCCTCCCTGTACCTTTTGGTGTTGCTTGTGTGATTCTTCTTATTGCTGTTTTCATGACTACGGTTATCATCATTTTACCATTGGTTCTACTAAGACTAAGACGCTTACCATCACCACTACCACTACCAGTACACTTACCATGACAGTTACTACAACCGTTATTTCTATTTCCCTGCCATCACCAGTGCCAAAACGATCACCAACTATTCCATTACTATTCCAATTGCTATTCGCATTTATTGATCCTAAACCCTGAACCCTAAAACCCCCTAAACCGCCTAAACCCTGAACCCTCAAAACCCTAAAACCCTGAGATGGCGCCCACTGCCTCGGGCGGCAGCGCTGCAGCGGCAACCGGGCTGTCCCCGAGGAGCGTGACGGCCAGGTAGCTGGAGTTCACTTCGTCTGGCAACCTCACAGAAGTTGCCCTAAGCCCCGAAACCCTAAACCGCTGAACCCCGAAGCCTAAACCCCTGAACCCCAAAACCCCCAAACCCCGAAACCCTAAAACCCTAAACCCCAAAACTCCAAAACCCCGAAACCCCGAGACCGATGAAGGGCCCGGACTCTAAGTTCCTCCCCACCCACTTCAGCTCGTGTTCAAGAGCCAGCCGCGGTTAAGGGTTTAATTGGGTTTAATCCAGAACTTGCAAACCCCTAAACTAAACCCTAAACCCTAAACCCCTAAACCCCTAAACTCTAACCTGGCCCTGTAACCCACAGAAACAGCGCAGGAGATCAAAGACTCCGAGCGTTCCCCTCATGCCGAACCCAAAAGCCCTAAACCACAAAACTCTGAGCCCCGAAAGCTAAAACCCTAAACCCCGAGACCGCTAGGCCCTAGTCTAGACCCCAAAATCCGAAATCTCTAAAATCAAAACCTAAAACTTACAAGTCCAGAACATGTGGTTTCTGGGTCGCAGGCTTCACCGCTGTCATGGATCCAAGCTCCGTCGTCGCATTGGCCTGGCTGGAGCCTGTCAACTGACCTCAGACTGTTAGTAGTAGGGTTTACTTACCTTTGGTTAGTAGGGAATGGAGGCATGGGGTACAATTATAACTACCATTCTTCCATTCCCTACTAACCAAAGGTAAGTTTAGGGGTTTAGGGCTTCGGGCTGCCAAGGTTTAGGGGCTCACCACAAATCTCCACCAGTCACACCACAACATGTGCATCGCAGCGGCTTACAAGGTAGTTGCTGGTGCGCTCCAGCTCGAGCACAATGGCAGAAGCTTGGCTTGTCGCCGTTCTTGTGGTGGCGGACTGTGTACTGGTCACGGATGTTGACGACGTCGATGCAGATGATGTCGACGACGTTGTTATCGATGAGGTTGACGTCAACGATGTGGATGTTACCGAAGTGGACACCGACGACGTGGACGACTCCGTCGACGTGGAGGAGACTGATGTTGATGACCCTGTTGACGTTGTGGACGAAGATGTTGACGATGTCGATGTGAAGGTTGCCGATGTGGACGTCGTTGACACGGATTTGGACGATGTTGACGTCAATGACGAGGACGTCATGGACGTGGAGGACGTCATTGACGAGGACGTCATGGACGTGGAGGACGTCATTGACGTGGCCGTCATTGACGTGGAGGACGTCGACGTCATTGACGTCGACGTGGATGACAAGGAAGTCGATGACGTGGATGTCAATGATGTCCCTGACGTGGACATCGATGATGTAGACGTCGAAGAGGTTGATGACGATGAGGTGGATGTGAATGAGGTGGATGTCGACGATGCTGACGTTGATGACGTCCTTGACACCGTGGATGTTGACGAAGATGACACTGACGACGTGACGGTGGATGAGGTCAAAGTTGAAGAAGTAAAGGTGGATGAGGTAAATGATGAGGTCGTGAGTGTCAACGACGTCGATGAAGTATCCGAGGCTGACGTGGAAGTGGTTGAAGTGTGTGAAGTGGAAGTCGATGAAGAAGACACAGATGATGTGGAGGTCGTCGATGTGGATGTCAATGATACTGATACTGATGATGTAGACGTCGATGACGTAGACGTCGATGACGTGGACGTGGATGAGGTGGACGTCGGTGACGTTGTCGAGGATGTGGAAGTCGACGACATCGTCGTGGTAGTCGGCGCCTCCGTTACAACGTGTCTCCACTACAGTTCCTGCAATGAAGCCGTGCAAAATGGCTTGGTTTCTGGGTGTCTGGAAATTGAGGTTGAAGTTTTGCGGAGCACGATCCTTCCCCTGACTTTGTTCCGGTGATCTTGCGGGACGAGACGAGGCGAGAAGAAGTTACGAACAAACTTGCCCCGGTTCCGTGGGTCGGATGACACTTCTCACAAATACAGCAGCTCCTTCGTGTGGCCGCTTGCCATGTGATCTTCCAACTGGTGTTAGCACCGAGCTACAGTTTGGTGCTCTGCCAAATGCTCACTGAAAATGATCCGCTCTCCGGGGTTCCGGATGTCGACTTCGAACATCCGGAACCGAGACGGCGAGCGCCCGAAGCCGAAGCCTGAATGAGCCTGAGACTTGAACCCCCGGACTCTTGGCCCTGAGTTTGGTGTAGGAGTCTATATAGGCTGTGCGGCTTGAATTGTGACGCCTCACAAAATATCCACACGGCTCTATATGCTCAAGTCATTTGACCATTGGAGTTCATTGGCGTCTGCACAAACCAACGCTTCCCACCCACCCTCCGTTTTACATATCTGGCAGGCGCGGCATGTACACTCATGGAGGTTTGGGGGGGTATGCATTTTTGACATACAGCACAGCACAGACACATGCACACACACACACACACACACACACCGCACACAAGAACCATTCCAAACCACTCTGCAAACTGATTCAGGTGCAGCTTTCACATATAGGGTCCGTGCTCCTGCTCTTGACCCGTGCGGACTTTTCCGCGCCCTCACCAGGGCCCCTACATGTCTCTGCATGTGCAGCAGGGGGGGAGGTTCGATTGCTGACTAACAGCTTCTGGGTGATGGGGGTGGTTGCTGAGTAACGTCTTTGGGGGGGAGCTCCTACCCGGAGCCGGGGACGGCCGATTACGCTCCCGCCTCCGTTTTGCATTCTTGGTGGAGGCCGGCCATAACTCATAACCTTGGGAGTTCTGCTATGAAAACCGTGTTGCTTCCTGTGACTGTGTGCCGGCAATCCCCAGCACACGAGACGGGCAAAAGTCGAGCAGCCTCGCCTTCTTCCCGGAAAAGCTGCCCTCCTGGTTTTGCTGTTGACTTCTGCCCAAAGGTCACATCCGGGAATGGCGGTGTCATCATGCCCTTATGAATATTGAACATGACATCGTTGAGGGCATGTCCGCAATATGAATATGCACATGCATGTGCTGTCGCGAAGCTAGGCTATACTGAACTTAGACTCCAAACAAAAATTTAAAGTTTCAGCTTTTTCTTAGGAAATGTAATAACCAAAGATTAAAGAACATGTCTAAGTACCCCTAAGTACGGAGTGCAGACTGAACCCGGCACCTCGAATGTCACCGTGCCCAGGTCTCCACCCTTCGATGGATTCCCCCAGGCCACCACGGTGCCGTCCGTCCTCTTCGCAGCGAAAGCATACCGACTGGCGTAGATCACATCCACGTTGGTCAACTGGCCACTCACGCTGCTCGAGTCTCCGCCGGAGGTGCTGAGCCCCCAAGTCACCACTGTGCCGTCCACCTTTCTGGCTGCGAAGGCACCCGCCCAAGAGTGGAAAGAGTAGATCACATCCACGTTGGTCAACTGGCCGCTCACGCTGCTGGAGTCTCCACCGCGGGCCACATCACCCCAAGTGACCACCGTGCCGTCCGCCTTCTTCGCGGCGAAAGCATTCTGAGTGGCGTAGATCGCATCCACGTTGGTCAACTGGCCACTCACGCTGCTCGAGTCTCCACCGGAGCTGCTATCACCCCAAGTCACCACGGTGCTGTCGGCCTTTTTTGCAGCGAAAGCGTGAAAATTGCTGTAGATCACATCCACGTTGGTCAACTGGCCGCTCACGCTGCTGGAGTCTCCGCCGCGGGCCGCATGGCCCCAAGTGACCACCGTGCCGTCCGCCTTCTTCGCAGCGAAGGCACGCTCCGTGGCGTAGATCGCCTCCACGTTGGTCAACTGGCCACTCACGCTGCTCGAGTCTCCACCGTAGCTGCTATCACCCCAAGTCACCACCGTGCCGTCCGCCTTCTTCGCGGCGAAAGCAATCAGAGTGGCGTAGATCGCATCCACGTTGGTCAACTGGCCACTCACGCTGCTCGAGTCTCCACCGGAGCTGCTATCACCCCAAGTCGCCACGGTGCCGTCGGCCTTTTTTGCAGCGAAAGCGTAAATATTGCTGTAGATCACATCCACGTTGGTCAACTGGCCGCTCACGCTGCTGGAGTCTCCGCCGCGGGCCGCATTGCCCCAAGTGACCACCGTGCCGTCCGCCTTCTTCGCAGCGAAGGCCTGCTGCGTGGCGTAGATCGCCTCCACGTTGATCAACTGGCCACTCACGCTGCTCGAGTCTCCACCGTCGAAGTCTGCATCGCCCCAAGTCACCACGGTGCCGTCCGCCTTCTTCGCGGCGAAGGCACCGGCAGTGGCGTACACCGCCTCCACGTTGGTCAACTGGCCACTCACGCTGCTCGAGTCTCCACCGTAGCTGCTATCCCCCCAAGTCACCACGGTGCCGTCTTGCTGCTTTGCGGCGAAGGCATTATAGTTGGAGTAGATCACATCCGCCAACCCGGCCAAGCTAAAGCCAACTTGAAGCGCCAGGAGAGCGCAGGCCAAGGACATCGAAGGACCAAACTCTCAACTAAGATTTTTCATGGTCTAGGTAAGTGCTTCGGTGGGCGGGCCGCGCTCCGTTTAAAGGCTCAACCCTCAAATACTCCTCAAATACCAAAATGGGGAAGTATGACCCAAGCCCTGGGCCCACTACTCGACGGTTACGAGTACCACTACTGTAAATCTGAAGTGATCTGAGCTGTCGGTCATGCTGCAGTCAGCCGCCATGCATCCTCCCAAGACAGAGGGATGTTCCATCTCATTTTGAGATGTTCCGCATATGAAAGCAACGCTTTGCTGTTACTGTGAAGGCTCATGAGCTCTTTGTATTGCACGGGAAAAGAGGGCCTGCTGCCTGTAGTCTTACAACTACTAATTATGGAAACCCTAGACCCTCACCGCTATCTATGATGCTGGACAGATCCACTCCTACGGTTGATGATATAAGTCCTGCATTGCCCATAACGAGGAATATATCAGAATTCCCATAGTCCAGGGTCATTAAGGCAGTGCAGGATTTCTATCATCAACCCTATGGACACCTTGAGCTACACACTCCCCTGCACTCTTCTAGGTCTTCAGCCCGAAGAAACCACTGACGCCTTGAACCCAAAAACAACCCCGAGCACTTCTGCATCTGGAGCATGCTTCTGCGAATCTACATCTCGCGTCACATTGTCCAACCAGCATGGCCGGACTCCGCTTCACAACTGTACTAGAACGAAGACACCGCAGCCTCTTGCACGATGATATCAAAAGGTCCCGTTTCGGCCACTTAACAACAGGAAGTTGCATGAATTCTTTGGAAGTCTGCGGCTTCGATGATAACTGTGCGGAGCCAGCGATGCGCACGATGCGACTCATCTTGCCATTAGCTTGGGATAAGTTGATTTTGCAGGCGCTTCTTCTCTTCCACGACAAAGCTGCCTCAACTGTATCTATCTGTCTGTCTGTCTATCTAGCTATCTATCCTGACGAACTAGGTATGAAAGTGCATAAGTATATATGCACAACGTATGATATTCAAGTTGTACCTTGGTATCTTCAACTCATAACAGACAGTTGCGAAGCTCCGCCGAGTCGCCAAACCAGGGGCGGTAGACCAGCCAGCCATAGGCTCCGAAGGCCACAACGATGAGTGTCGATGTGGTCACGGACACAAGATGGGCCAGAGGCAGTGCGGAGCTGAGGATACCTGCTCTCTATAAGGGGTTGATTAGGGCTTTGGGCAGTTTCTTTACGTTTCTTTTGGGGGGTTTAGGGCTTTCTGGAATACGAAAGCAGTGCGGAGCTCAGGATACCTGCTCTCTATAAGGGGTTTATTAGGGCTTTACGCTGTAGCAGTATCTTTATGTTCCTTTAGGGGGTTAAAGGCTTTCTAGAATACAATGGCAGTGTGGAGCTCAGGATACCTGCTTTCGTCAGCGTGCTACGGCACTGAGACCCATGAAGGGCTCGTGTAATGCTTGCTTTAAAGAGCTCAACTTCTTCTGCAAGGGTACACCCCAACCCTTAAACTCTGAACCCTCAAACCTAAACCCTAAACCATAAACCCCAAATCCCTCAACCAGAAACCCTAAACCATAAACCCCAACTCCCTAAGACCTTGTGAAAGACGCAGAACCTTCAGTCGCCTCCGCAGACCGTGGCCTGGGCCAGGTAGGCGGGCACCTTACTACCCCAATAAGCCATAGAAACAAAAGGTTAAACTTTCCGATTCCTACTAAACTATAAGAACGCAGAAAGTTTGAAGGTTAGGTATTGGGGATCCAAGGCACCGTGGCCCACATCAGCCGGTTCCGGCTCGGGCTGACGCCTCAAACACTTACGTTGCTCAAGAAAGAGTTTAGGGGTTTAGGGTTCAGGCTTTTCCGGTTTTAGGGCTGTACTTTAAAGAAGAGACAGTTTAAGGCTTTAGGGGTTTAGGATTTTCGGGTTTAGTGGTTCAGAGTTTAGGGTTTAGGGTGTGGGGTTTGAGGCGTAGGGTTTAATTAGGCTTTGCTGGTTTAGGGTTCAGGGTGGTGAAGGGAAAGGGGCTTCTGAAGTGACAGGGGCTGCCGAGACACGGTACATGTAGCCGTACCTGGGCTCGAAGGCTCTGGAAAAGCAGCGCTTCGTCTGCACTCAGTTTTCGCGCCCCCTCCCTGTAACTTTAGCCATGCGCACTTCTTGATGAAAACTCTTTCTGATGAAACCCTGCAGCCCCGAAACCCCTAAACCCTGAAACCCTAAACCCCTAAACTTCGATAAACCCACTAAACCCTAAACCCATGAAAACCCTTCATTCGTGGCTTCCTACATCCCCGGCGGCTACTCGAAACGAGCTCGGGCTCCCCAAAAACAGTACAGGAACAAAGGAAAGACGGGTGGTTGCTTCGGGTTTAGAGGTCCTTAAAGGGATCTATAAGGGCTCCTTAAAGGTATCTGTGGGATTTAGGGTTTAGGGTTTACTTAAAGGACTTAAAGGATCATGGGACTTAGTAACTCGGATTATAAGTATGGTAACTGTACTGATAATTCCTTAAAACCCCAATTAGAAGACTTATAACCTAACTTACCAAGTCCCCTGATCCTCCAAGTAGGGTTTAGAGGTCTCTAGGAGGTAGTTCTCCACATAAGGGTCTCTTTTAGGTTCCTTTTTTCTAATGGTGCCGTACTGTTTTGGGGACCTACAACAGGACCCTAATAAAGAGAACCGCCAATATTGCATATAGCTTACTGTATTCACTAGATGTTACATATTACATTTTCTATGTCATAAATTTCAGTTCTAGGTTCTGCATTATGGGTTACATGTTGCAGATTTTCTAGCTTGTATCGTCTGTGCTTTGTCCGCTGCTCCTGCCGTGAAGCTGCTGAGCTAGACGACTACGCGAAGAATCCAAAACTGCGCCCTAAACCCTAAACCCTAAACCCTAAAACCCTAAACCCTAAACCCCAAAACCCTAAACCCCAAAACCCTAAACCCCCAAAATCCTAAACCAGCTTTCGACCTGGTGGTCCGGACTAGAGCCCAGGCCTGGAGTGTCTGGTGACAATCGAATCTGTCGCGCTCTTCTTCTTGAGCACCCAAAACGGTCACACAGCAACTCTTTGCTGTCTTGCTTGCACTCAGCCAAAGGCAAGCTACAGCCCCCCCTGCACTTTGCTGTCTCTCTCTCTCTCTGCCTCTATCTTTCTTGGCTTGCCCGCCCCGTTCTCTGTATACCGCCCTTCTCTGCTCAGTGCCGCCAATCAGCGCCATGCGGGCAGGAACCCAGATCCAAGCGCAACACCCGGCAAAGATCGGATCCACAAACACGGCGCACACCCACATTGCCAGGAAGAAAGCCCAAGCCTACGCCGAAAATCAGCAACAAAAAGGATTCACGGGGCTCAGGGTTTAGGCTTTAGGATTTGGGGGTTCGGGTTCCGGGTTTGGGGGTTTAGGGTTCAGGGGGCGAAGGGCTTCTTGCTCAACAACTCACAATACAGATACCACAGAAGCACGAGATGCTGTCAGGAAATTCTGGACCAGAGTATAGTATCCCATGAATATCAAACCATACAGACAGTGCTGATGTAGGAACCTGATTAAGAAACGTATAGGCCCAGGGTTTCTTAGTCAGGTTCCTACATTATGCCTGCTCACACACACTCGCGTGCAAACACCAATTCATTACATCACGGCACAGCTATCGATACATTGCATGACGCTACTTTTGCTTTACAATAAAGGCCATTTTGTTGCATAACATTACATTACGCTGAAAATACATCACATTATGTTGTTGTACCTTACATATACATACAATATCTGTATGTGTATATAGACATATTATAGAAGATAGCTTCGGATAGCTGTCATGACGATGCTAATGATGGAGATGTTGCTGATCATGATACGGGTGATGCCGTGCCGACGGCAAGGACGACGACGACAAAACAGAAAGGCACAGCTAGCAACAACCATCAACAGTATAAGATATAGCATCACTCGATGTCTTTGTAAGCACTGTGCAGGTCCAACTTAACCATTGACGGACAGAAGTCATCAGCAACATGGCTGTCGTTATCATGGTCATCGTCGTCACCATCGTGAGAACCTTCACCAGCAACACAGCCATCGTCTTGCCCTGCAGTTCATACCCGCCGACGTCGTCACCAACACTCAGGTTACAAGTGCACCAATACCACCACCATCGCATCACCATCAATGATAACAATAGCAAAGACATGAGCATCGTCTTCTTCGCCTGATAACGGCGATCACCGCATGACACTGCCAGCTATAGCTGCATGTGCCGTCGTCGTCATGACTATAAACAAGCCAAGAGCAACATCAAACGACGACTACGATGCTGAACACAACAGCACTGAGAGTGGTTCGACTTTAGGATTCTCGATGGCTGCTTGCCATCACAGCGAATATGAGCGATAGTCGGACACAATGTCTAGCGAAGGGCCTTCAATGCACAATATTCTACTTAGAGGTCCCGTTTTCGGGTAATGAGAATTTTGAAGACTTTAATGCTCGGGCTCATATTCGTGTTCCTTGTTTCTTGGAACTACATTCTTGCTTCATTCTGAAGCAAGCTACCATCCACCGCGGGCCTGCTCCACTTGATTTTGCTGTGCTCGCAAAGCTCGGATGAACGGCCTTGGACGGGAAACCAAGAAATCTTGGACTGTTTACCTAGAGACTCCAATATCCCTTAATTAAGGAATATCCCTTAAATCGGATCCTAATATTGATTTAAGGGATATTCCTTAATTAAGGGATATTGGAGTCTCTGGGTAGGAGGGTTTTGGGCTTAGGGTTCAGGATCCACTGTTAGGATCTCATGATTTTCAGGCTTGGTGTGCGGGTCTTCGGTTTGCCTTGTTCCAAGCACTCAAACTCCCCGGATTTATGTGGACAACACATGCCAAAATTCGACGGCTTGTATGACCCAAGGCGTAGGTGGTGGCAACAGGTCAAGAAGGATTGCAATGGCGAGCTGTTTGGAGGCAACTCTAGACACCACCATCACTGCCCTCACCACTGAAAGCAACGACAACGGCAGCTCTGCCGCAGCCACCACAGCCACCACTGGTATCACAACAGGGTTTGTAGACGAGGAGGACCAGCCTACCCCAACCTTCAAGCAATTCGTTGAGACAACGGATACTAGCTCAGGGGGAATGACTGGTTCTCCCGTATCCGTACGCAAACAGCTGCCAAGGTACGAAATCCGGGATGCGGCCTAGCGATAAGCTTGAACAGTTTTGCCTACGGCTTACCGGAACCAGGTCAGCGAATGCTGACCAAGACCCGACTCTCCTTAGGCTCTCCTTTGCATGTAATGCAGAAAACATCTACAATAGATGGAAGCCTACCGGACCGGTACACTGGTACTCTCGCGCTCCGCCGGGCTTGAGGCTCCGGCTCCAGCATTTTTGCATCTTCGGTCTCTGTGGTGAAAGGATACTTCAGTTGATACGGAGTGCGGGCGGCGCCGACCGCGAAGGTGTCCACAAAGACGTAGTGCAGCACGAAGACAGCCGTGGCCGTACAGGGCAGCTCGAAGCCATCGATGCGCATCTTGCACAAAACACAGGCCCCAAACTATCTGCAACCTCGGTATTAAGCCACGTACTGCAGCAAAGGACTTCATGCGCACACTGAAACGACAACTTGCGACCCCGCAAAACGCTTTCAGACCACTCTGGCAGACAACAGCACCAGCATGGGAGTTTCCGAAAACTAGGGGTACCTTCTCTTGGCCTTAACACGAGGATCCTACTATTTAGAGTACTATATTGGTGTCCCCCATTTTCGGAAGCTCGCAGCATTGCAACTTGAACACCTGGGACGTTTGTGTGCGATGCCGCGGTGCAGGCAAAGCCGATTTAGGAGTCTAGCTGTCACCTCTGACACAAGCCTGGTTGGATTTACAGGATGCAAACTGCACGCAGCCGGCGACCTGGCCAGCACGATGCTCTCCAAATCAAACATCAAGCATCATCTTGTCGTGGCTTACCATGGCTGCCAACAACACAGCCATCATGATCCCAACAACTTGCGAGCACAGCACCCCTCCCAAACAATTATCGACAACTCAGTACCGCAACAACTTACGGTGCTGCTCCATTCTGACAGTGCTAGGACACTGAGTGTTGCGTTTTCCTTCCTTGGACCAGTCTTGCTGCTTGAAACTTGCTGCCACTAGGACAGACGTGTTGGTAGAACGGTAGCTCCTAGAGCTAGACTGCAAAGCTTTCGGCACCAAAGCGCAACGGTACAGCACTCGGACCGGAAGCCTCTTTTCCTTGAGCTCGCAGCTCACCACGTAGACTCCATGGCCTTGCTAAGGCCAAAACGGCTGAAGGGATCCCTTTGAGAGGAAAAGCAGCCGGCCGGAGCGAAAACTTGCTGTGGGACTGTCGCATGTCGGAAGCTGCACATGACATGCCGTGTAAGTGAGGGCTGTCTCTTCTCTGGAGAAAGCACGCCCAAAAGCCCACAGGTGAAGACAGGGGACAGGACCGTCCGTGTTACACTACGGCTGCTGTTTCAGACGCTTTGCCCTAGTGAAGTTTGGGTCGTAGGTGAGGCGCCAGCGACCTGTCTGGAGAAGTTGGTGAAGTGCTCCCGGCTTGGCAGGCTTCGTCAGTGCATCTGCAACTTGAGCGTCGCTGTTGACCCAGCGGATCACCGTCTTGCCCTCGCGAACACGTTCACTCAAGGACAACAGCTCCAAGGCACTGTACTTCTCGCTCAAACCACCGGCCGCGGAGTTCAGGTCGTCCTTCCGCAAGACGTCGTAGAGGCTCTTGGCGTCCGTCACAAGGGCGCCCGGGACCGTTTGGATCTCTTTGCCAGGGTCCTGAAGATCAACGCTGTATCCCAGCATCTCCTTCCATTGGAGCCTGACCAGCATCAGCTCCTCCTCGGCCTCCGACGCTGCTTGGGTCTCCGCCGCCAAGCTGGAGCGTGCGACGCGCTTCAGCCTCGCACTTCGCCAACTCACTGGAGTCACTGGAGCATGCTCTCCACGAAGCATGCCAGGAGTGGTGGCACACACCAGGTGCCCGCCTGTGCTCCCAAAGTCAGGCCGGTTTCCAACGGCAGCGTCAGACCACGCCACGAAGCAGACGTCCTCCGGCGGGATCCCATCGAGGTCCGTGACCTTCATGTGTAAGAAGCGCCCATGATAAGCTTCTCGCCCCAATTTGTTTGCCAGCTTCAAGGTTTTCACCGTCGCCTTGTTCACAGAAGACTGAAGCATGCTCAGTTGCATCATCAATTGGGACGCGGTACTGTAAGCACGCCACTGCAGAGCACCCATGGCCGCTCTTAGCTGAGCAACCTCCTCCTTCGTGGCCAGGCTTTCTTCGTCGCGGGACTCATATTTGATCTCATCAATCTGAGCACAGTACTTCGCTTGATCCATGATCACTTCGCGGTGACCCTCTTTGAGGACGACACCGCAGTGGTTGTAGTCGACAACCTCCCAGGGGCTCCACCGGTAGCTTTGGTAGAAGCGGTTCACAACACTGAGCCAGTCAGGGTCCTCCTCGTTGCCCGCAATGACGAAGTCGTCAACATGGGCCGCAATGAGGCCGATGAGGCGTGGCACACCGTTGACCCACTTGACTAGCTTCCAGCAGCACGGTTCGGTCTTGAGCTGGACCATGCCCAAAGAAGTCAACGTCCGGTTGATGTCGCGGAACCACTCGGCTGGAGCATTCACCAGCCCATAGCATGCCTTGGCGATCTGAACGCACTAGCCCTCGGCTAGCCCCATGGCTTTCGCCAGCTCTGGCACCGGACGCGCAAAGACACACCGGGACATCTGGGTCGGCGCCGTCTGCAGGAACGCGGCCCGAACATCAGCTTTCATGGTCTTCCAGCCACGTAATGTGGCCTGTTGATATACCAGCTGGCGCGTCCTTCGGCTCATTGTCGGGCTACTGCTGACCAAAGTCGCCAGGTCGGCGTCCTGGCACCCCACGATGACTATTCTCGCCTTAGCGGCTCCTGAGTCTTTCCACGTCAGGACCCAACGCATGGACATCAAACGGTCCGCGGCGATGCGACCTTGGACTCGTCGAGCAGCCGCCTCCTTGATCCACTGGTTAACCTCAGTCTGCTTGGCGCTGTCAAACTGCTCCTTCGCCTTCGGGTCCAGGCGCCCGTACTGGACCTCCTGCTTTCGCAAGCCCTTGGCCATCCAAACAGTGGGGTCACGGCGTAGCCTTTTCCACTGGTTCTCGGTTCGCGGCACCGGTAGCTCAATGGCGCACATCACGCCATCATCGGGGTCAAGCTGGATGAATGAAAGTTTAAACCCTTAAACCAGTGTCCTTCTTACAACCACGGCGCGAGCTTGGATTCTTTTCTCACTTCCTGATTCGCTGTCGGGCTGTCTTGAGCCTACGTTTGACCTGCGGTGAAACACTGGATTCCTGTATGTAAATGGGCATGAGGGAAAATTGAACTATCTGTTACGCCCTCATCACGTACACAGCTTTGTCGTGTAACGTGATCCTTGTGAAACTTTTCCTACTTCTACCACAGTTTTCGCATGCTCCTGTGAGCTTGACCTTCTCTTCTCGCACGCTTCTTTGTGCACTTGTTGAACATCTTTATCCTTTTCTTCCTTTGGTCTTCATCCTCAATCTTCAGATGTCCTATAGCAGATTTGCGAATTTCCATTCCACACACGATTGGCATGGACTCACTCGGAAATTAGTGCCGGCGAAGACCCCAAACAGTATGGACGTGAAGACAGGAGAGACACATGCTATAGTGGTAGATCACGACAGTCCGCCCAGACGTTTTCGCAACTGCTGCAGCCAAGGCGGGATTGGCTCCCGCACACCCCCGTCCAAGAACATAGTTGTTTTTTTATTTTCAATGGTTTTCCATTGAACATAGCAAAAAAAGGCACATAGGTTTTTTGTTATTTTCAATGGCTTTCAATTGCGAATGCAAAAAAACACATCGGTTTTTTTGCTATTTCGAATGGTTTTCCATTCAATATACCAAAAAACACATGGGTTGTTTTGCTATTTTCAATGGTTTTGAATTAAAAACACATAAGTTTGTTGCTGTTTTCAATGGTTTTCAATTGCAAAAACAAAAACACCACTGGGTTTTCTGCTATTTTCCATTGTTTTCTGTTGCAAATACTAAAAAACCCATAGGTTTTGTGCTATTTTCAGTGGTTTTCTACTGTAAAGCACCACCAAATGCATTACTCAGGCCTGGCAAAATGCATTCGCGCGTTTTCCTGACTAATAGAATCGTTTATGGTTCATGACAACCCAAGACCACTAAACCAAAGCCAAAAATCGAAAGTAGATTGGTGCCTGGAGACTGACCACAATTGCATAAGCATCCGTGACAAGCCAGACTCGTTTATCATTCATGACAACGCAAGACCACTAAACCAAAGCCAAAAATCGAAAGTAGATTGGTGCCTGGAGGCTGACCACAATTGCATAAGCATCCGTGACAAGCCAGATGCGTTTTTCAGGGCTGGAAAAATGCGTTTGCCTGTGGCTATCGACCGACGGCTAGGTTGGGCTCTGGTCGGTTTCGCAGAATCTAAGGCTCTGTGCGATATTATTATTAAGGAAAGCCATAGAAACACAAGAGCATTTTCGAAAATCAAACGAGCATTTGGCCCTTTCCGACAAGCCCACAGCAAAAAGACACATGCCCATGCATTTTAGGGGGCTGGAAAATGCATTCGGATAGCTCTGCTTGCAAATTTAAAGCAGATCTCGTGCGGTGTCGAAGCAAAAGAAGAGGCTATGGGTCTTCCAAAGCACATCCAAATGCGATTATCGAAGCTGCTAAAATGATGGGTTTCAATTGCTAATGCAAAAAAACACACAAGTTTTTTGCTACTTTGCATGGTTTTCCATTGAAAATGAAAACACCAAAGAACACATAGGTTTTTTGCCATTTTCAATGGGTTTGAATTACAAACACATAGTTTTTTTTGCTATGTTCAATGGTTTTCAATTGTAAACACAAAAAACCATGGGTTTTCTGCTATTTTCCATTGTTTTCTGTTGCAAATACCAAAAAAACCATAGGTTTTGTAGTATTGTTCAGTGGTTTTCTTCTGTAAATACCAAGCGAGCCGGCTGAGAGCACGGCAGAATAATGCTTGAAGCACCACCAAATGCATTATTCAGGCCTGGGAAAATGCATTCGCGCGTTTTCCTGACTAATAGAACCGTTTATGGTTCATGACAACCCAAGACCACGAAGCCAAAGCCAAAAACCCAAAGTAGATTGGTGCCTGGAGACTGACCACAAGTGCATAAGCGTCCGCGACAAGCCAGATGCGTTTTTCAGGGCTTGGAAAAATGCATTTGCATATGGCCGTCTACCGACGGCTAAGTTGCGCTCTGTCGGTTTGCGGAATCTAAAGGGCTCTTTGCGATATTTCTCAAGGAAAATCATAGAACCACAAGAACAATGTCGAAAATGAAATTAGCATTTTGGCCGTTTCCGACAAGCCCACAGCAAAGAGACACATGCCCAAATGCATTTTCGAGGGCTGGAAAAATACCTTCGGATAGCTCTCCTCGCAAATTTAGAGCATCTGCTCGTGCTCTGTCGAAGCAAAAGAAGAGGCAATGGGTCTTCCAAATCACATCCAAACGCGTGTTTCGAAGCTGCGAAAATGATGGTTTTCAATTGGAAATACACAAAAACACATGGGTTGTTACAATTTTGAATGGTTTTCCATTGGAAATACCAAAAAATGAATGGGTTGTTTTGCTATTTTCAACGGTTTGGAGTTGAAAAGACATAGGTTTTTTGGTATTTTCAATGGTTTTCATTGGGTACGGCCCCCACTCAGTAATAGTTGAATAATATTCTTAATATAGATATATTGGGACCTTAATAATAGCCCTATTATAGACTCTTACTGTATGGGGGCCGTACCTACGGTTTTCAATTGTAAACACCAAAAAACCATGGGTTTTCTTCTATTTTCCATTGTTTTCTGTTGCAAATACGAAAAAACATTGGTTTTGTTGCATTTTTCAATGGTTCGCTACTGTAAAATACCAAGCGAGCCGGCTGAGAGCACGGCAGAATAATGCTTGAAGCACCACCAAATGCATTATTCAGGCCTGGGAAAATGCATTCGCACGCCTTCCTGACTAATAGAATCGTTTATGGTTCATAACAACCCAAGACCACGAAACCAAAGCCAAACATCGAAAGTAGATTGGTGCCTGGAGACTGACCACTACTGCAAAAGCATCCGCGACAAGCCAGATGCATTTTTCAGGGCTGGAAAAACGCAGTTGCCTGTGGCTTTCCACCGACGGCTAAGTTAGGCTCTGTCGGTTTCGCGGAAGCTCAGCCGTAGCCTAAGGCTCTATGCGATATTTCTTAAGGAAAGCCATAGAAACACAAAAGCAATTTCCAATCGCAAATACAATGCAACACAGAGGTTTGTTGCTATGTTGGATGCTTTTATAAAGTGGACGCCAAAAAGTTGGAACACACGCATCCTGGCATTCAGCACTCCATGAGCGAGCGCGTGCAAGTTCCAATTTTGGCATTATGTTCCAAAGTTGGAACCTCTTGACTGGACCGGCTGGCAAACCCAGCGCGGATGTCATCAATGTGGGGCCATGGATGATATGGACATCATTATGATTGGAGGTGGGGGGGCACCTCTGGGCGGGGAAACAACCTACCCCAGCACTAACCTACACCCTAAGCCCAGCTTCCCTTGATTGGGGGACCGGAAAAAATATAAAACTAAACGCCGGGCCCTAATCCCGACCTAGCCCGCATTCCCCTAAAATTTGGGGAGCAAGGCCCTTAACCCTATGCCGGGTTTCCCCTGCAAAATTGGGGACCTCGGCGAAACCCTATGCCTGGTTTCCCCCTTCGGGGGGCCTAGGCAGGTATGTCCTAAACCCTAAACCAAACCCTGAAACGAAACCACCCCCACACGCAAACCGCAACCCTACGAACCGGGGAGGGTGGGGGGCGGGTTGGGAGGGCGGGTTTGAGCCGACACAAACACGCCTATATACAGAATCATGGGGAGGTGTCAGTGCTCGAGTGTGTGTTTCATGTCCTTTGACGATCCATGGGGTCATACCACTGACTAGCGATATTGTCGTGGGGTCCCCGTACATGTACCTCTCTGCAATACTGGCGCGTGCGTAGTGCAATACTGGCGCGCCCGTAGTAATGAATTGCAAGTTCCCTTTCTGTCATGTTGCAAGGGTCGCAGTAGTTACAGCTTCTATCTCAGTACCTGTCTCTGCAATGCTGGAGGGGTCGTAGTAGTTCCAGTTCTCCTCTTTCTGCAATACTGGAAGGGTCGTAATTGCAGTTTCTCTTTCTCTGCAACATTGAAACGGTCGTGGTAGTTGCCGTTCCCCTCTCTTTGCAATAATGGAGCGGTCGTATTGATTGCAGTTTCTTGCTCTTTGCAATACTGGAGTGGTCGTAGCAGCAGCAGTAGCAATTGTAGTTTCTCTTTCTTTGTAACACTGGTGCGGTGGCAATCATTGCAGTTCCTCAGTAGCAATTCCAGTCTCTCTTTTTCTGCAACACTGGTGCGGTCGCCGTACTTGCAGGTCCTCTCTTTTTGCAATATACTAATATACAGGTTCCAACTTTCGAGCCGCATGCCACCCA